GGGTTGTCCTCAGGTTAATAAGCAGTCTGAAGAGGAGAAAGCAAACGCTTTAAAAGAACAAGCTCTGTCTCTAACACAGCACATTGAGTCCTTGAAGAGTTCCATTCAGGTCAGTGTGTAACCCCGAATATGTTGAAATCTACTGTTACACTATCTCAATGTACACTATTTGGTGAACACTATATATAAAGTAAGTAGAAACACTCCACAGGATTACTTTTCAAGTTGTGATTTTCTCCTATTCTGGCAGCTAAAAGAAGAAGAGGCAAAGAAGCTGAGAAATTATCTGGAGCAGCAGGAGGAGGAGGCAAAGAACCGTGAAAAGGAGCTGCATGTAGAAGCTTCGGAAAAGGTACCGTGATAATCCTCTGCCTAAAATATGCAATTATTTTTAACACGATTGCATGATATGCACAGCATGCTCCCATTCAGGTGCACAGAGCTATTGAAGAGGAGAGGAGAAAGTGGGAGGCAGAAAAAGTGGAAGCTCTGCAGGTGCACTGTGGGATATTGGAAGAGCAGAACAAAAAAATCCTGGAAAGCACAAGGAGTGAGACTCAGCGAGAGAAGAGTAAATCACTGGCTCTTCAACATAAAGTGGTGGAACTAAAAACAGTAAGGTCACTCTCAACTGTGACATAACATTACCCTCTACAGAGTAAATGTTAATTCTGTCTGATTTTCTTTGTATCTGTAAGAGAGTACAGCAGTTGGAGAGTAAAATCTGTGCACAGCAGAGAGAGCAGGACTCTTTGCTGGCTGTTATTTGCAAATCACTGAAAGAGGAGCATCAGGCTGAGCTGCAGAAGTTACAGAGACAGATGGCACAGGTGCAAGGAAACCACAGAAAGCAATCATTTGAAGGCATGTAAGGAGACATAGTGTTGTTGAAAGGCTGACCTGATGTGGTCTGTGGTCATAGGAGAGTCAGAGGGCAGTGCTGCAGCTCAAGCAGGCAGTTCAGCTGGCAGAGAAAGAGGCTGACGGGCTCCGGGGGATGCTAGAAGAAAGGGAAAGGAGCCATAACCAAATAACAGCTGAGCTGGATCAGCAGCTACGGCACTGGGCCCAGGAGCTGGGAGCAGAGTGCCAGCATTTACACCTCTTAGTGGAGCAGAGTGGAGCCAAACAAACTTCTGTTCAGCTACCTCCCAGGTATTATTTCCTGCTCTGGCTTACACACGACTGGTTCAGAGAAAAGTTAATACTTGATGATTAGCTTCTAATCCTGATGCCTTTGTGTTGTGTAGTCCTACAGTAGCTGAGGCTCTTACAAACCTGACAGCACTAAGAGAGCAGTTGAAGCACTTGTTTAGCCAGCTACACCAGGAGCTCCATTCAGAGAAACAAACCACTGAGCAGCTGAGAAAAGACAAGGTATAGTTTAGACTGTATGCCGCACAGTGCTGTTTTCAAATACAGCACATTAAATGTACTCATAAATACAAGTTCATATGTTTTCAGGAACGAGAATTGAGCATCCAGAGGCAACAGCTGAGGATGGAGAGAGACCAAGCCTTAGATTCTCTGACGGGGCGTCTCATTCAGGTATACACACTTTTTGTAGCTCATGTCGGTGCACATAAACACACTCAGTCATCAGGCTTGGGCAGTAATGGATTACATGTAACTGAGTTATGTGCCACATCAGGATACAAAAAAGATGTCGTCAGATTACAGTTACATTTAGTAAAAATGGGGATGATTAGAAGGGTTACAATTTAAATACTTAAAAATACTAAACTAATACTAAAATCTTTGTTTACATTTTCTTATTGATATCTTATTTCTCTCTGGTGTTGAGATAATCTGAAAGTAAGGGAAAGTAATCAAGTAATGTTACTTTAATTTTGTGACACTGACATTTTAATTATTATTTATTATGTAATTAATTACATTTTTTAAGGACCTTCCCAACCTTGCTCATCATTTACAGCATTGCCACGTGATATTTCTGCAGGAGCACATTGAGGAGTTAAGCAGTCTGAACTGGACCCATATGTGCGATGGAGGAGCTGAGGAAGGAGGAGTGGCAGCATCTCTTCGCAAACAGCTGAAGGCCAAAGACCTGGAGCTCAGGCAGGTTCAGAGGAGCATGGGTCAGTGGAAGGAGCAGACTGCAGCTCGTCTGGCGTGCAAGTTTGAAGAAGAGTTGACAGCTGAACTGGAAAGGTAACATATGAACAAACTAAGTCAAAATACAGACACATTCTTTTTGTTCTGAGTTTTAATCAACTATCTTCTCTTGGCCCAGAATCCAAACCTTGATCCATCAAATACAATATATATTTTTGCTTTTTTATGCTCTATGTTTACATTTTGCTCTAATGTTTGCTATCCTACAGGTGCAAGACAAAGTTGTTAAGGGGCAGGTAACTGGTTTCTGTGTGTGAAATTTAGATGACATACTAACCAGCTGTCCTTACAAGAGCATGAACTCACCTCAACTCACTGCGATATGCATTTTATACCATAGATGTAACATTACCTATACTTGTATTGTAAACCCATAACTTCTTCATTTAGTTATCTTAATTATTCACAGCTAATAATGCTTCAAATACAGGTTTGTTTGTTTTCCAGGAAAGCATCAAAGACGTGGAAGAGGCACAGAGAGCCTGAGAGGTCTGAAGGAGAGATAACGCTTAGTGCAAAGGTAAATGTTTTACTGTTCCTGCGTAGGCTCTTACACATATATAACTTAAATATATTTAATACTCATTTGTTTTTTAACAAAAACCTTTGATCTCCCTGTCTGCCCCCCATCAGGAAGCTCAGAATTCAGTTTGTTCTCCTTCCCTTCATGTTGCTGCCCCCCACAGCCCCTCAGACGTAGCTTCATTCAAGCTTCTACGTTACCTCCAGAGCAGAGTCAAGCAGCTCCGTGTAGAAAACCAAGCCTACACCTGGAGCCCGGTGCCTTCAAATGCAGTCCCTTTAGATTTGTCTGGATCCTATGTTACAACAGTGAGTACATTGTTTTAATAGCAGGTTACTGTTAAATATTGACTTGTCCTTCTTTCTGTGCATTTACAGTGGTTATAAACAAGTATACTGCAAACATTAGTACTGGCAATATACCAGGTGAACTATGTCCTTTAAGGTTTTATAATATATTTAAGAATCTAAGAAATGTATGTCGGAAGAAACCCACATACGTATAATTATATATCTTCTTTATCTTGAAAATGACAAGAAACTGTCCACAGCTGCTCATCGCAAAATTAACTTTCCAAAAACATTCAAGTCTTAGCGACTTTGTAGAGGCAGGACTTTATACAGCACAACTGAAAAGACACACCTCAGTATATAATTAATGGATAAATCATTGCTTTTACTACATTTTCATTTGTTTGAATTGTTTACATTTATAAATGAAAACTAGCACTGTCTAGTACTGGAAGCAACACAAAAGGCATCATCATCACAGCACTTCTGGATCTGATTTGAAATGCTCTTTCAGACAAAATAAATCTAAAATAAATCTGAATATTATTTCTCTACTTTTCTTTGTCATATAATAATAGCTAATACTGGTGTCTTCTTTATAGATCAGTCAAGGTCAAGACATTGCTGGGATTCAGGGCCACTCATCAATCAGGACAGTCTCAAGTTAAGGACATGAAACTTTACAATGTGCGGGTCACACACACCAGTGACATAATGTTCTCAAGTATTTAACTGTTTTAACTGTTGCATTTAACAGAAATGAATCATTTACTGTAACACGTGCATAAGAGAGCAGATTAACAAGCAGGTCACAGTGACAAATGACACATCCGAAGATTTGGTCATTAAGTTTACATTCCTCTGTGTGAAGGCAGTCAAATTTTATGGCTTAAGGTTACAGTGAACTGTGATGAACTGACTTTTCACTGAAGATAATGTGATTTATGTCAGACCACCTCATAAAGCTGACAGTTCTTCCTGGGAACCCCTTGTATAATCAGTTTGTTGAATCATGTTATATTATACAATAAAACAAGCTCTGTGGATTTGTGCCAATTTTTTCTAAACTTCTTTATCAACTAAATTTGTTATCTTAATGTAAAAAAAACACTGAATGCAGTATGTTATTTTTAAAAAGGAGAATGCAGGATCGGTGCCTATTTATTTAGCAACACTACTTAAGTAAACATAAATGTCAGCACCCATCTCGGATCAGGACACCAACTTCTACAGAGCTGGCCTAAACTGAACTGCTAAAAAACAAACAGCTCTAATTAACGTTAAAAAAGCATTGGACAAAGTAAATTCTTTCATTTTGAGTGACAAATTGGAAGCTATTGAATTCAATTACCTAATAGTTAATTGGTTAAAAATCACCTACCTAATTGTATGCATGTATACGATTATATCAGATTAAAGGACCACTGTGCAGGATTTAACAGCAACTGCAGAAACATGGTGGTTTAACATGGTGGACTCGGTGGAAGAGGACCGGCTCCCTCTGTAGATAAAAACAGTTCTTATCTTCAGGTAATTATACATTAATTAAAACATATCAGCCATAACATTATGACCACCTGGGCACCCTGGTGGTCATAATGTTGTGCAGCTCCCATACGCAACAAACTGTGATACACTGTGTGTTCTGACACCTTTCTATCAGAACCAGCATGAACATTTCTAGCAATTTGATCCTGAACAGGTAATACTGCAATTGGACCCTGTCTCAGGTTCACCTCTTTTCCTTCCTTGGACCACTTTTGGTAGGTACTGACCACTGCAGACCGGGCACACCCCACAACAGCTGCAGTTTTGGAGATGCTCTGAACCAATAGTCTAGCCATCACAATGTGGCCCTTGTCAACGTCGCTCAAAACCTCACACTGCCCATTTTTCCTGCTTCTAACACATCGACTTTGAAGACAAAATGTTCACTGTCAGTGATCATAATGTTATGGCTGATCGGTCTATATAATGATTACAGCATGACAATGTGAACATAACAAGAGGACTGTTTTCACTAAATTCAAGCAAATCATCATCAAATGAAATGCAACTATTCCATGCAGAATATCTACATGGACAATAAATGAGTTTATTTAAAAACAAAGTAATAACACTTGATGGCTGATTGCAGTTCTAGTAATACAATCTAATCATAGAAAGGTGCATTTCCATGACTTCTTTACAAAATTACTCAAAGCTCACAGATGGCGTACTTGCTAAGCACTATAGGAAGATAATATTTCTACCACAACAAGTACAACCGCAAGCAGGAAGTCATGCTGTGAGCAAATGTGAACACACAGGAACCATTTTTAAAGTCCCGTTAACGACGTTCAGAAGCTGAACATAAGAACTGTACAAAATTCATGTGCTGCACGCTGATATTTAACAAAGAGCAACGTCATATTTACAGTACATCGGTGTGTCGTTGGCCAGGCTTTGGCAAAATTATATACAAATTATCTTATTTCTAAGGACATTGATTTATATAAAATTGGTTATGTAAGGCTGTCTATTGAACTTTTAAAGTCTTGAGATTACGACAGTTACCTGGTTAATTAGGTCAGCATTATGGTTACATCTTACACATGGGTGATAGTCAAAAAATTGAACTGTAAAGCAAAAAAATGTGTTGCAGGAACTGTCCAAAACTGCACAATACTAATGTAAAGCCAACGTGCCTTGCCAAACTAACCACAGGGTTCTGAGTCCTTTATAGTCTTTTGTGTGACTACATATCCAGTCTTTTACTTTGGCATGGCTTTTCAAGTCATCAAGCGCTATTACATTTCCATGTCCTCCTCTCCGGAGCTGTGGGCCACAGGAAAGCTGTACAGAGAAGAGTGTGTGTCTGCAGAGGGACTGTGAGGGTTTGGAGACGGACATGGGGTCGGGGGTTGTCGAGATACTGTCTGCTGTTTACGCGGTTTCTGTAATAGGCCCTTTCGCTTCCGACAGAAGGGATCTTCAGGTGGCCGCCACAACACCAACTCCATACAGGAATGGCTCCTGAAAGTATGAGAAAGCAGGTGAGACAAAATATATATATATAAAATAATATAGAGTCATGTTATTACTTCATTCAACATTAAACGTTCCAGTAACAAAGTGAGGATAACATACACAGACTGGGCTACTGTATGGGGTAGGATGTCACTGATGTCGCGCTGTAGACCCTCCTTCAGACTGTCTGAGATCACCAGCACTGGCCGTCTCGGGGCTGGCTCTACATCCAGATCTTCATCCTCGTCATCATCCTCCAGCGTTATTCTGTGAAACATCAATTTGACAGCATTCACCGTGTGATAAAACCCCCAGAAAATCACCAGTAAGGAATGGCCAATCAAGCCCATTGTGGCTGATGTGAATGGGGAGAGCTGCAACACTATGAAAGAAACCAGCAAATTGCAACCGGAAATACTGAACAGTCTGTGTGCTGTGTTCGGCAGAAACAGGCTTTTCTGTATATATATATATATATATGTATATATATATATACATATATATACATATATACATATGTGG